AATGCTTAAAGGTTTTTTAAATGATTAGGAATTTCTTTCCAGAATTCTGTTACCATAAAACGAACTGTTTTCTTTCCAGTATTTATTTTAACTTTTGGTTTGTGTAAATTTTGTTTTGATGCATGTCTAGTGTTATAGGAATGTACATTGTTTGCATATTGAAAACAAAACATCAAATACACTTGGGGATTTTTTTTATACCAGTCGTGAGTGAATGTAAGAATAGGTACTTTATAGATATTTTGAAGGGTGAGAATTTCTAATATATTAAGAAGTGGAAGAGCACTATCAGTTTTGGATCATAAAGCGCCGTGGCAAAGAACATGATACTATCGTGTTGATAGCTTGCTTAGCAGGCGTTTGGGGGCGGTTTTTCGTTACCTTTGTTTAGATCTTTGTCCAGAGGTTGAAAGTGCAGGTCAAATAGCGATTCTCGTTAATGAAATTGGTCTGCCGTTAACTGAATATAAAGTAAATTTWWWWAAAAAAAAGCAGCACACGAGTTCAATCGAACCAGGGTAACACTATCAAAAGCGCGGATTCTTAAAAACATGTTTACTTCTCGTATTTATCTTCGCGAGTCTTTGGGCGCCGATGCTGATAGCTTCCCATTGCGTTCTTGGCCCTTCTTTCGATATTAAAAAAGCATGGAATGCTTTACCTTGGGTTATTTTTCGTGCTAGGCTTGTCAATCAGAATATATTTAACAATCTATGTATCTAGCCGAGGAAAGACTGGAACCGTGACCTTTATCCCCCTCATGGACGGCTTATCGGTTCCGAGAGCTGCATCCAAGATGCATCACTCGAGTCATATCAAATATTTTACCATTCACTCATCTATTCACTCCGTTCAATAAACTGAAAATATTGATTTAGGGGTACTTTAACTTTTAGCTTGTAAATAACTAGAGTTTGAAAATCTAGGACCAGCATTTATTTCAAACAATTAAGATTCTCAATATTAAGACTTCTGAGACAATTTATAAAAAMGTCCTTAAATGCCAACGACCCACCAATGGTGGTCAAACGATTACCACAGTTGCCTGCGCCGTCTTGAAAGGTAGCCGCGCCTTTGCATGGAAGTAAGACGAAAGGTGTTAAAACAATGTGTTAAAAAAGGTCTCTATYATTGCAAGCTCACCGTTCGTCTCGCTTCGATGCAAAGGCACGGCTACYTTTCAAGATCACACAGGGAAAGGGACTATTTTCATGRATGTACCGCGACAGTGTGTTGATGTGATGTGCAATAAACAATATAGTGGGTAGTGATTGGTTGTTTATATGATGTCTTCATTTTCTTGAAGGTATCGTGTCGTGATGTGCCATAAGCAATATAGTGGATAGTGATTGGTTGTTTATATGGTGTCTTCATTTCCTTAAAGGTATCGTGTCGTGA